CTAGTCTATGATTAAGTTATTTTTTTTATACTTTTTCATATAGCAAAACAATGTACATAGGGTAATGACTATAAAGAGAAAATGCCCTATGATGCCTTAGCCATTCTGTCTTGTTTCCTTAACCCTCCACATTATCTGTTTACCCGTAACAAATTATTTATTTTCTTCTGTTATGAATTTGATTCCATTGTTTCCTATTTCAATTAAGGATTAGTTTTGTTTTTTCCTCGACTTTCATTATTAATGTAAATGTTACATAGCTTTTATTTGTTCTCTGTAAAATTGAGTCTTAAAGTGTGCCAGACATAGACCCTCCTCTAAAAATGAAAATCTCAACTAAATGTGTTATAAGCATCGCAAAAAATAGAAGGGAAAAAATTATAACGAAATTAAAAAATCTGATTTTTTAGTTGGGTGATACCAGGCCTAAGATTGGTAATTTTTTTTTTTTTTTCCAGCGTTCCCCTACTGTTGAGTGTGAACATGAAGGACAGGCTGAAGTACTCGATGATTCATCTTTATTGAACAACGGTATGTATTGCAGCCTAAGACAAAAAAAAAAAAAAAAATCAAACAAAGGCGAAGAGGAAATTATGGCCCCGTTCAATAAACTCGTCCAAATAATAGAAAAACAGTGCAGAAATACAAATAAATCCAAAACAATTGCACAGAATTATGGGTCCATGTTAGGAGAAGGGTTGGACCAATTACCTCAACCAGAACAAAGTTTGTGCATATGTGAAATGGAACGAGGCTTAGGGAAGATGTGTACGGACTTTGTGGAATAAAAATATTTGTAATATTGAAACCAGCACTAGTTTAAACAAAATGGCAGCCTGCGCCCGTGGTATATTGCGAATGCACCAAAAAGAGTGATTTCCCAGCAACATGCTGGGCTGGGCCATTTAAAAAATATAAAACAGACACTTTTTCTGTAAATACTAGTAAGGTTGTACCTCCAAAAAGAGATATTATTAATAAAGCCTTTTTAAAGGTGTTTGAAGAAGATGGAGAATAATCCAGTAAATTATTAGAATACTCATTAGTTATTATTCAGCTTTTTCTGATGCATTTAAAAATGCTTTATTTGTAATGTTAAATTCCTTTATTCATGGTGTTGTATAAACAAAAACATATCTTGTATTCATTAATTTGTATGTTGTATTAATTCATTTATATTTTGTATTGTATATTTGAACCTAAAAATATTTATTTGTTCATTAATAGAATTTCTATTTTGTATAATAATAACAAAGTTAGGATATAAAGATTAATTTTCTAGCAACATTATAATTATTAAATTTAGTTTATGTATATGATTTATTATATTTTGCAAATATATGGGTTGTATGTATTATAAATAACATCTTCCATCATTTTCCTTCAAACATATATATTACAACTTGTGTATAAATAACCAATAAATGATAGGTATATGTCAAATTTCTAAAATTAAAAATGCGAATAACAAAACAAAGGCAGTCTCACTATGTGGTTAAAATTTCCACACTTAGACTTCATTGTTATTTTAATCAGACAATGTTTTATACAAATATAACTTTTTTAGGCTTAGGATGGTTGATTATTTATTGAAGTAGGCATCAAAATTGGCACTGTATGATGTTAGTCTCTAACCATGATACAGTCATTTAATTACAAATATAGTATTGTATTATGGTGTTTCAATATGTGCTTAAAATGTTATTAATGCAACTTTATTAGAGTCTAGGTTAGTAATTTTGTGAGTTGTTCGGTTTTATTTGAACTGAAGATATAGAAAGAAAAAAAAAAAAACAGATGTAGATTAACACTAATGTCTGTGAAATGTAAAATTAGTTGACAGACCGATACAAATATGGGCACTAAAAAAGAAACTGATAAACTGATCATTTTAAAAAAATAATGAATACTTGTTTTCAACTCTCTAAAGTAGAATAAGCATAGGTTAAAAAATAAATAAATTTTGAACTTTTTTTTTATATTGACTAAATAATATGTGAAAATGGATATTATTTTATTTTAATGTAATGCGAAGTATTGGGATCATTAAAAATTTCAACTCCGAGTTTTCAAAAACATAAAAAACTTTTTGCTTAATGGTTTTTTTGTGTAAATGCAGAATCTATCTAAAAAATGAAAAGTTCAGTGATTATACTTATTTATTAAGGTAGATAGGAGTATGGCAGCGATGTTAGGGCAAATTGTTGGCTGAAATAATATTACCAAAAGTGGAACTTGACATAATTGGTTTTATAAAGTATTTCAATTCAACTATAAAACGGAAATAAACAATGAAGAGTAGTATTAAATGAAGAAGAAACATAAAATGGAATAATTAGATATGAATAATAAAATGTAATTAGATGAATTAACAAAAACTTAGTTTATGATAATAAAAGGTAATGAATAAGTACGAAAGGTTATGATATATATACCTGACACTCAAAAAGATGATAAGTACAAATAGCAAATATATGGAAATATAATAAATCAAATAAATATATATAAGTAATGACAAATGGGAAAAACAAGTAATGGATTAAAAGTTTTGTTATTTAAAATATATTATGTAAAAATGTTCAAAAATATATGTTATATTTCATTATATCTTATTTAATTTTATTTATATGAACCCTTCCGCTAACAAACTTCCATAATTCATTTAATGGCAAATAATATCTTCATTTAATTTTTGTAGTTTATAATGATTTGTTTGTTATTACTGAAAGACAGAAAGCTGGTTGCACAGAAAATTTTGATTAAACTCGTGTATTATTGTATAATTAAGTGGTCTTTAATATCATTGAGGTCTTATCCCCATTAATGTCACTTTACATAGCTTAAATGCCTAAATGTTCAACATTTCATCCTCTAAAGTACCTTTAATTTGATTAATTTTTAATAATTAACCATCTCTCATTATTAAGAATTACGAAAAAATGCTAAATATAACTTTTGAAAGAATTTGATAATTGAAAAATGGAGAAAAAAGGGAAAATGTGTATTGAGGATGAAAATGAATTACCGGCAATACTTGTCAGAAGTTATATCATTGGAAAACGGATAATTTTAGAAAAAAACAATATGAAATATAGAATGTAATGGAGAGAGATTATTATAAATAATAATTTGTGTAAACTAATATTATTTAACGGAAATCACATTTTTTCAAGGAAATTAAATAAATGAAATTTACTAACTAAATTTAAATTGTTTTTAAGTTTGAAAAAGTATTTAAAATTCACCTAATCAACGCAATGTTATTGTTAAAAAACTATTTCATAGTACTAATGTGAAAGAAGTGAAATATAAAAATATTAAATGGATGTATAAAGCCTATGTTTATAACCTTAAATACATTTACTGTAGTTTAATAATTCTAAATCTGATATTATATTTAAATAATTAGGTATCAACGTCCGTTGATCGTCGTATAACATTTAAAAAAATTAAATTAGTGAGTAATTTGATGAATTTTCCCTTTGTTAAATTAGTGTAACAACTTTTGAGCTATCTATGACAGGCTATGAAAATCTCGTAATTTCTTTGTAGTAAACTTTACAATGGAAAGTAACAGTTTAATAACTAATAGGCGTAGAATCCATAATAATTTATAGGTTAAATATAGAGATATACTTGAAAATCTCTCTAGACATATGTATATTGCTCAGAGACCGGAGTTATATGGTTTACGAAAAAAGATGGGGTAGGGAGGTTTTTATTATCTACCGTTGATATAATTAATAGGGTTTCTGTTATTTTAGGGATGATAATGATTAGTTAGCTGTAGACCTTTAAGCTATAGATCCGTTAAAAGTGCACTTAAAAATTTTTATAATTGCTCAACATTTCCAGAAAATAATTTCTATTCAAAGTAGAAAGGTAAGTGAAAGTTGTATGTTGTGCGCACTAATTTTGTTTTATTCCGGATATTGCAAAAAAAAGCGGAAAATGGAAGTTTCTGTGTCAGCCAATCACAGTGGCTATTCAATGCATCACTAGCGCAGCGCAACGGCCACAATGCAAAACTTGCTTGGATTTTGCCTAAGTTTTCCATTTCGGATGGATATGCAACAAACCGGGGTAAACAGCCCATTACCTTCCACCAGCAGGTCAAAATATCCCCACCACCTTCTCCCACTCTCGCCCTTTCCTTTGTTCTCTACGACAGTGGCGCTAGCAAACTCGGGCAAATTCCCATAAAACTGAGGCAAAATGCGGGAATTTGCCTCGATTTGCCTGTAGTGTGGGCCCAGGGTCAAATAATATCGAAAATTTTAACAGTTGGACCCCTATCCTTCCAAAAAACAAGGAGCTCTCAAACCAGGAAACATGTTGCGGGATTCTATGGAGGCTTATTAATACGCAAGAAATGTTCTTTCTAAGGATAATACTTTTTTTTAACTGTCTTCCTTTAATTTTGGTACCTATGCGATCTGTGAATCAAATTGGTACCGATTCTTCCAATGATTGACAAAGTTAAAATTCCAGTACATCCTTATTGACAAAGAATATACAGATGCTACAACCGTATTCTCACAAATAATAATTACGTACTTAATTTAAAGGAGTAAAAACAAGAAAATTATGAGTCAATGCGATATACTTGCTGAGTTACGAGTGAAAAATTTCTTCAATTTCAAGGAAAGCGATTTTCTCAGAGAATTTCGCGTACTCGATTTAGAATTTCAATCGATAATGGAATTAGTTGTCACTGGTTTGGGCTGAATGAACAATTAATATAACAGAATGAATGACAGATATTAAGGATAGTTAAACAAACGTCATGTGAATTTTTAATTCGCATCATTTAATTCATTTTCGGATTAATTAAGACTTTTAATTTAGAAGTAAAAATATATTGGCATGATGGAAAAATATTTAGAAATACAAATAGAAAAATTATCCTGTCAATGCTCAACGTCATCGAGTTATAATTAATTTCAAGGATATTTAATAGGGAGCGCTAGAGCCGAAGGAATATCAATTGTTATCAGTCACTCCTGGAATAGGGGTCGGTGATATTGTGTTGTGTTTAAATTTTAGGATACCATTATTGGTTTTATTTAAATCTCTTCATTATGGCAAATAGATTCATTAAAATAGTAATTATATTAAAGTTCAAAACATATATGTAATTAATGATTATCGTTTCTATTTTTAAATACATTTTTTATACATTAAAGGTACCCTTGACTACTAGTATAAGGCATCATAGTACAAGTAATTTGAATGAAGTTTTTATTGTCAGTGGTGCAAGAACACCCATAGGGTCCTTCAGAAGTTCACTTTCTTCTGTGCCCGCACCTAAACTAGCATCTGTAGCTATTCAGGTATATTGTTACACGGTTTGTTATATAATAACTTTATCTCCAAGATATAATGACTATTTCAAGAACTTGGGCTCAGATAAAAATTATAAAAAGTATTTGAGCACCAAGTTATTATTGATGTGCAAGAAGTATTTTTAGTTTAAACTTATTTAACCTTCTGCCTTAAAATTTTACTTGTACAGTGGTTTCTCTAAAAGAAATGTTTGTTATTTCTATAATAAAGTGAAGTAATTACAGAATTGCCTGTAATATTATATAACATAAAATATTAATAATATATTATATTACATAAAAATATTCCTGGATAATGTTCTTTTTTTCAATGATTTTTTTTTCTTTGTATTTTAGTAGTTGTTCATTATGTTTTGATTTGCAGGGAGCTATCAAACGAGCAGGAATACAAAATGAGGATGTCGATGAAGTATTCATTGGAAATGTCGGGCAAGCTGGTGTTGGACAAGCTCCTGCTCGGCAAGCAGCACTTTTTGCTGGTTTGCCTGAGAGTGTTATTTGTACCACAGTTAATAAAGTTTGTGCATCAGGTATGAAATCCGTTATGTTAGCTTCTCAAAGCCTTATGTGTGGGCATCAAAAAGTAATAATTGCTGGAGGTATGGAATCCATGTCCAATGTTCCTTATTATTTGTCTAGGGGAGACACACCTTATGGAGGAGTTCATCTTACTGTAAGTTTTATTCATTATACTTTAACACATAACCAAATATACTCTTCTTTCTTTGTTATACTTTAACATATAACTAAATAAACTATATTTTCTTTGTTGTGCTTTATCATATAAAACTGAATACACACTATTTTCTTTTTCTTCCCCAATAAATTCTTCTTTCTTTTTCCCTATTGACTTCACCATTTAAAGTAAATGCTTCTTTTGAGTCTCAATTATTTTTATTTTCAAGCCTTGTTTGTTTCTTCATTAAATTAATAAATAATACATTAAACAACTTGAAATTTAATATCAAAACTAACACAAAATGTTATTATATATATTGGTCTGTGCTGCCATTAATGCTCATAATATTTAATAACTCAGAATATTACAATATGTAACTAACTGAATGACTTGATTATAAACAATTTTTTTTTAAATATTTTCTTTTTCAAATAAAAATTTAGATTTTTAAAAATCATATACCGTTGTTAAATTACGAGTTAAAAAAATTAAATGTAACCATTTACTGATGTAGGGAAGCTGGTTGTATCATTAAGCATATAAAATCATCAAGTTGCACTTTTCTGTTCCAATTTCAATTTATATAGTATTAAATGTTCTTTTGGGATTCAGATGTAGTACAATCACTGTCAGCGAAATGTTTTCACTTTTATTTACCAGGAATGGTTTGTGTTGGCACTTTGATTTAATAGTGCACTAAAAAAAATATAAAAAAATTAGAGAGGAAATTTATTTGTTACAAGAATCTAAAATGAGTACATCAAAATGATAGACTTTTTTAATCAACTAAAACAGACAGCAATGCTTGTATGCATGAATTCTTATATCTGAGTAATTTTGTAAATGAAATGTGATATTTACATATAATTCTTAAGCTGTTATGTAACAATATTGTTTCCTCATCTACGGAAAAGGGGACAAATTATTCATCTTTTTTCATATTTCTGTCAAGCATTTCAATTAGATTTCTATAGTGGCTATCATGAAGTTAATTACTAAACTCTAATTTATTTACAGCATGAATTGATTTAAACATTTGAAAAATATGACCAACTTTACCAATAATCATACTAAAAATTTAGAGTTTTCCTCATAGAAGAATAGAAAAATATCTCCTATAAATTTAACTAACTCTTTATTGTTGGTGAAAAAATTGTTGCCATGGGACAATGTGGTTGGGAGTTGCAGTCAGAGAAAATACGAATAAAAATATAAGATTAATTAGTTTATTGCATAAGTGGGAAACTTTTTTATCATTAGAGGCCGCTGTAAGGTTAGGCAGTGTTAATGGAGGCCACATTAATTCTTTATATTTTACTGTTGCTATTTTTATTTATCATTAAATAAACACACCCACATACATACATACATTAAACTTAATTCTACTAATTTTCAAATTGTTATTACTTAAATAATGAAATATTAATTCTAGCTCCGAATTAATAAATACTGCAAAAATAAATGTTTGGAGACCGCATGTGGTCTAGAAGGCTGCGGTCCTCCACGTATAGTTTAATGCCTCATAGCATGAAAGCAATTCTTCCTCATTTAAATAGATTTTTAATTCAAATTTAATTTTTTTAATCTTCATTTCTGTTTTTTTCAATTTGTTCCACATAGTTCTCCTTTATTTATTTTAAATAACTTAAAAATAATATTTATTAGTTGATAGGAAGCAAGAAAAAAATAACTTGTCTCTCATTGTGATATGTTAATTTATAATTAAATAAGAACAAATTTGATTGTGCTTTAACACGTTAGCTGCGGTTACGGTCCCCAGGTTCCTCTATTTGTCCCGATTTTGGCCGGTATCATTTAGAATTTTTCCTATCTTATGAAGTCTCAAAAATGGCCTTTTTAAAAATATTTGAATGAGAGTTGGATAGATGTAAAGATAGCTGCAAACATAAATAATCATTATATCTGATATATAGCTATCCGAAGCCTAAGACTGTAACCGCAGCTAATTTGTTTAACATCCATATCTTTATTAATTTAAGGTAATATCTCAATGAATTCTGAAAAAATAATCATAATACATCATCTATACTCTATCTCATCATCTATCTATATTTCATATAATAATGATATTTTTTATTAAATCTTCCAAATTTTCAAGGGCATTTATGGTTAATAAAATAAATAATTTCGTGGAAATAACTTTATTTAACACTTAAATAATTATGATAATTTTTTTTATAGGATGGAATAGTGTATGATACATTAACTGATGTGTACAACAAGTTTCACATGGGAAATTGCGCTGAAAATACAGCTAAAGTTCAGAAAATAACCCGTGAGCAGCAGGATGATTTTGCTTTGCTCAGCTACAAAAGAAGTGCTGATGCTGTTAAGGCTGGTCTTCTCGCTCCTGAAATTGTGCCGGTTTCTGTCCCTCAAAAAAGAGGTAAATGCATTTTATTTATCAAATACTTTTTAGTGTGTTTTATTTTATGTATTAGATGTTTAAAAATCTAATCTAATTAATCAATCATTAATATTCTATTTCATTTAATGATTTGTTTTGTTTTTATCTTATCCCTTTTTTTTTTTATTTACTTTTTTAAAACATTTATCCTATGATTTTGGTACAGGGGTCTCCAAAAGTTTTGACCCACGGACCACATTGAGACTCCCCCCCCCCACTTAGTCCCGCGGGCCGCACTGAGACCTCCACCAAGCCCTGCTTGAGGCCATGGCTTGTGAGGAAAAAAAAAATATCTTGTTCTATAAATGATACTTCCGTTGTAAAAGCTCTCTAAGAGAAAGAACTCTTGCAATATATGTTGTAGTAACCGCGTGTTTGAATGGTTTACTAACTTTTATACTTTATAAATAATTTTTAAAATTTTACCATGCAATTAAAAAAATTTTCATGTTCGTCAGCCGGACTAAATGCGCTTGAGGATCTGGTCCCCGTGCCTTAGTTTGGAGACCTCTATTTTAGTGCATTATTATATTTTATTAAATGGTTGTGATACTTAAAAAAAAAAAATTAAAAAAAGAAATAGAAATAATATTTTTAGTTTGATTATTTGGCAATGCTATCCATAATAATAGATTGTTGAATTTTTCAAACATTTATATATTATTCCCTCTTGCTTTAATGAATTATATCTATATATAAAATATATTCTAAAATGAAAACAATTTCTCAGTTTTTCCCAACGAAAAGCCTTGTTGGACATTTAGGAAAAAGTATCGAAACTAACATAAGTTATTTTCAAGTTTTTCTTTCATTTACCTCATAGTCTTGGGACTGACATTTCACATGTTCCAACCCGATATAAGTTTGCATGAACTCATGAGGCAGTCATTCATGTATAAGATGAATACCCAGTATGTTTCTGTATGTTATTAAAAATAATAAAATTAAATAATTATAATGAATATTAGTAAATAAACTTATTCATTATTTACTTATTTAATGTAATCCTGCAACAAGTTAAACATGAGATTCAATTTTCCTTAATTTCATCTTATGCTTGGGATAAAGAATCATTTAAATTTAATTAATGTTGTTTTATATTTTTCTTACCAGGGAAACCAGATGTTGTTGTAAATGAGGATGAAGAGTTTAAAAAATTTAATGCTGAAAAGTTTAGAAAATTGGCAACAGTGTTTCAGGTAATTTTATTTGTAGTTTATCTAGTGATATATCTCTAACATACATCAAATTAGTATCAGATATTGAGAGTTTTCTGTTTTATCTTTTACTTATTTTTCTAATTCTATAAATGAATATGAATGAACCAACAAAACACAGATCATACTTTGAGTCTCGTATAATGCTACTCTTTCATTTCTATGATGATGATGAAAACAATTTGTTTTTATTTGCTGTTAAAAACAAATGTCTTTATTATTAAAATAATACGTTTTGTTTCTTAAGAAATAAATTATCTTAGACAATCAATCAATTATCCTTGACAATGGAAGGGATTGTTTCATTTGGTTGCTTTTTAATACTTTTTTTTTATAAATTGTTTCACAATTACTTAGCTACTGTTGATGAATATTTAAGTATGCACTAATTAAAAGAGATTGTTGGGAGCAAATACTAAATAAAAGTAGAAAATAAAAGGATTCCATTTGAATTACCATTTATACAAACCATGGAAACAACTTATTTCCAATATATATCTAATATACCACTTAAACTTTGTGGCAGGTTAAAAAGAAATAAATCAAGTAAATAAATTTTACTCATAGATTATCATAGATGGTGTGTAGTACTGATATTCTTAATAATCCTTATTAATATTGGTTTCACAAATAATTAATTTTAATCAAATATAGAATTTGTTCTCTCTTTGATGATTGGTACATAAACTGACAATATTTAATGATAAAAATATTTATTTTTTGTTTAATTTAGTTATTATTTCTACTATATTTATAGATTTAATATAATTTTATCTTTCAGAGGGAAGGAGGCACCGTAACCGCAGGAAATGCATCAACTCTTAACGATGGTGCTGCTGCAATGGTTCTGATGAGTGCTGAAGCTGTCAAACACTTTAACGTGAAACCCCTAGCTAGGGTTGTAGCTTTCGCTGATGGAGCAACTAAACCAATTGATTTTCCCATCGCCCCTGCAGTAGCCACTCCTAAGGTTATATTTAATTGAAATTTTATTACTTATTACATGTCTTATACAGCTAATGAATTAGGTAAAGGTATTACAAAATATTTTGTCAATAATAAGTCGAGTGGTAACTGTGAAGAAATGTGTATTAGGAAACTTACTTTTTTAAAATCCCTTGGATCGCGCTTTATTGCTGGAGGAGACTACAATGCTAAACACCAACGATGGGGTTGTGGATCATCCAACTCCCGTGGTAATACTCTTTCACGAGTTTCTTCTTCCAACAATTATTCCATCCTCTCGCCCATGAATCCTACTTATTTTCCAACATCCATCAAAAAACGTCCCGATATCCTGGAGATATTTATTACCTCCCAGATTTCCTCCTCCCAAACTATAATCAAATCCCTGGATGACCTTTCTTCAGACCATAGTCCAGTTCTGCTTTCACTACATTCTGACTTTGCTCCTAAACCATCACTTCCTAAACTGATCACTGGACGAGTAAACTGGAACAAATTTCGTGATGATTTGGAAAACAAACTAGACCTCAAAATTCCGCTAAAGACAAAAGAAGACATTAATGGTGCCATAAAAAAACTGAAATCATCAATAACTGACAGTATAAATAATAACACCTTTATCAATAAGATTAACCTCCCACAAAATACTAACTTGCCACAGCATATTCGTATCATATTAAAGGAAAAACGCAGAGCAAGATCGAAGTGGCATTGGACTAGATACCCAACAGATAAATCGCATTACACCCAACTGACTAACAAACTGAAATCATAAATTAGAAAATTCAAAATTTACTAAACTTTACTGAAAAACTTACAACCACTGACAAATCACTATGTATGACCACCAAAAAACTTCTTAAGTTTCAAGACTTTAATCACCCACTACTTACTGATTCCCAAACCTGGTCCAAATCCGATGAAGAAAAAGCCCAACTATTTGGTCAACATCTCTTCCAAACTTTTAATCCACATCCCGATATCCTTAATTCAACTCACATCAATTGTATTGAGGCAGAACTGGATATTCCTCTCCAAATGTCTCTGCTACCCAAAGCATTTCATCCCATAGAAATACCCAACATCATTCAAAAATTACCCTCCCGTAAAGCTCCTGGACATGACCTAATTACATCCCAGATCCTAAAACTTCTTCCTCGAAAAGCCATTCTATTCCTTACTTACATATATAATGCTGTACTCCGTTCCACATATTTTCCTGATCCTTGGAAACAATCTATTGTTAAAATGATCCACAAACCCAAAAAACCACCAGAATACCCATCCTCTTACCGTCCTATCTCTCTTTTACCCATCATGGACAAAATCCTAGAAAAACTCATCTTAAAACGCCTGTACCCTATCCTAAATTCTAAACACATAATCCCAGATCACCAATTTGGTTTCCGAACTTCCCATTCCACTATACAGCAATGTCATCGTGTGGTAGACATAGTCTCCTCTACATTGGAGCGCAGAATGTACTGTACGGGAGTCTTTCTCGACGTTGAACAGGCGTTTGATAGAGTTTGGCACCCGGGACTGCTGCACAAACTCCGAAAATTCTTACTACCTACATACTTCCTCATTATCCATTCCTACCTTACTGATAGATACTTTAAAGTAAATCACAATAACGCCTATTCATCCCTTTTTTTCTCAGTCCGCTGGTGTTCCTCAAGGTAGTATCCTAGATCCTATCCTCTATATAGTTTATACAGCTGACATCCCTACCTGTCCCAACACTGTCATCACCACATATGCCGATGACACATGTATCCTATCAGTAAACAATGACCCAGCAATTGCATCCCAAATGCTTCAATCACACATCATAAATCTAGAAGAATGGTGTCAAAACTGGAGAATTAAAATAAACTCCAATAAATCCCACCAAATTACCTTTACTAGACAAATGCTCTAAACTTCCCATTAATTACAAAAGACTCATATACTTGACTATAATAAGACTTATTTGGACTTAAGGAGTTGAGCTATGGAGCTCCACTAAACCATCGAATTCCTCTCGCATCCAATCCTTACAATCCAAAATCCTTCGTAAAATCCTCAATGCTCCTTACTTTGTCACTAATACAATTATCCATAAAGATCTTAATGTTCCTTATGTTTCAGATCTGGCCCAATCCAGATACCTATCCTTCCATAATAAACTTCAGAATCATCCTAACCCTCTCGTTTCTAACCTTGCTTCCTCTTCAATTCCTGATAACCCTCCGAGGCGTCTGAAAAGAAGATGGCCCCGTGATCTCCTAATGTAGTCATATCATTAGAGTGCTACCATTGGTTAGTTACTCAGCAAGTGTATTCATGTCATTATATCTATTATGTCCAAATTTACTTGATGTATTTATGTAACACAGTTGTAAATGTCATTAAGAAATAAAAAAAAAAAAAAACTTTTTAAAATATAACACAATCAAATTCTATTCTATTAAATATACTTTATCTGTATTGACATTGAAGAAACAAAGATTATTTCTTTAATTTTGGTTAAGGTTCCAATGATATCCTTGTTATACTACTCTGCTGTGTTAGCAATCAAGCTAAGCAGCTCAACCATAACTCCTGTGGTATGATATGAAGATTCCCAATTATTTAATTAATATTTTGTAATTTTATTTTAGCTTTTGAAAATGGCTGGTGTCAAGAAAGATGATATTTCTCTTTGGGAAATAAATGAGGCTTTTAGCGTTGTTGTTCTGGCCAATATCAAGCTTATGGATATCGATCCAGCTAAAGTTAATGTTCATGGTGGAGCTGTCAGTCTTGGACATCCTGTTGGGTAATAATAATTCTTAAGAAATATATATATATTTAAGTTTAATATATTACTTTTTTCTTACCTTCTTCTTCAATGGACGCTACAGTCCTTGTAGGACCTGGGCCTTTGTCACCACTTTTCTTCACTCCTCATGGTCCACAGCAAGGTTCTTCCACTTTCCGATCTCCAGCCTCTTCAAGTCTTCTTCCAGATCATCCAACCATCGGTACCTTGGTCTACTACCTCTTTGAAATTTTCCTCCTGGAGTACCATTCTTGGCAGTCTACTAAGATCCATTTTTTCAATGTGAACCAGCCATCTGAGTTTGCCCTTCTTAATAACACTAACTTATTAGCACACCATAAAAAATCTATTAGTTCTATGTTGCTTCTGATTCTCCATCTATGCTGCTCTCCGACAGCTCCAGAGATTTTCCATAGGACTCTTCTCTCCCATGCCAGCAGAGCTCTCCTGTTATTCACCATTTGTATATTACAAGTTTTTCTTTCCTGGACTGACTTTTTTGATGGAGCACTTTTTTTCAGGGCATAGAAACATCTAGTTCTTGGAACTATCCTGCCTTTTATTGTAGCTTCCGAATTGTTTTTCTCTGTCACTGCTCCTCCAAAATACTTAAATTTATCACAGTTACGAAACCTATCTTTTCTCAATTTAATAATATCTCATTTCCCCCTGGTATGTCGGAATGTTTTCATATATCTACCTTTTCTTTTCTGTACTTATCATGAGTCCTAATAGACTAGGACCTACTGACCATTTCATTAAACGGAAGGATTTGCAGCTACTAACCATTTTAAATTCTAGAAAAACCTCATCTGAACACACAACTTCGGTCAGTTGGTTGAAAGCTGTTGCTTTCTTTATGAAAATTTAAATTAGAGATGAAATTTGACGGTTCATTTAATGTATGACGATGTACTCGGTTGCGTTTTCAAAACTGATGATGACCTCAAAGTCATCAAATTAGGCCTGTCAGATGGCAGTTAGATAAAAAAAAAAAAAATAAATAAATAATCTGTTTCTCTTTAGATTATGGGTCTTTTTATGGGAGGAAATAGTACTAATGACCATCATTCCTTTAGACATGGCAAATTCTACTGTCCAAAATTCATTGTCTCATGCCTGCTATCTTGCCTGATTGTGGGTCTATATATTTCTTCTTTGCCTATTTGAGCATTGAAATCGCAGAGTTTAAATGTGTGTCATTCTGTAGTATTTGGTCATGTCTTGGCCAGAATGGTAGAGAACATTTCTTTATCTAGTTCTTCTGCATCTTCACAAGGGGCATGCACGCTAATCAGTGATAAATTGCAGAATCTACCCTACTTTCGGATTCTGCAAATCCTGTCATTAATACAGTCATATCCAGGATACTTTTCCTAATCATGAAGCCAGTGCCCCATTTCTCTTGTAGCCAGTAGTAAGTACATGTCAAGGGATGCCATATCTATATCTCCTCATCGGATCTCTAGTAGAGCCACTACATCTACCTTATATTGTTCTTGCGCTGTCTCAAGAGCTCTATTCGCACCCTTCTCCAATCCGACTCCCCCATATCCAAATGGGTCCCTCCCCTATGTTTTTGGTCTTTACCATTCCTGTATAGAAAACTCCACTCCAGCAGTTTCTGGACTAAATATTTTTTTTATACAGGTGAGGTCGGCCAGCCCTCAACCCTCTTCCTTTATTCAGGCTTGGAGCTGGGTGTGTATCACTACAACTGGCATAGTTTTCTTACCTAACAATCAATATTAATATTCAATAAGTTGTGAATACATACTCCCATGAATATCTTTTCATAATTGGTTCTATTCACATTTCATTTCTATTAGAAAAATATTTCTAATCTTCTCAAAAGTATAGGATGTTAAAAATATTGGTTCCTTTCTTGGAAGTTGGATTAATATTTTATGTTTGGGAAAAAGATTTTTGTCCTTTTCTTTTTTTATTCATAGATGATGCCATATTTTTTCAATATTTAATAGATAATATTTTTACTTACTGTACTGAAAACTTCGCTGTAATAATGAAAACATAGAACTAGAAAGAAATGGAATTGGATGTGTATTTGTTTTCATATTTTCTTTTTATAGTAAGATAAAACTTTTTATTTTGTTGATGTCGTCGATTCTGCTCCAAAAATTTTCAATAACTGGTAAATTTCTGAATTAAGTGTTATTTGGTTAACGAAAATGCTGCAGTACCTAAAATTTATTTATTAAAATACATTTGAAAGACAAAAAACTGCAAGCAAACGAAATTGAAACTTAAAGTAATTCTTAAAAGTTTTGGGATAAAACCTTTTCATTAGCGAAAGGTAAAAAACTTACAGAGAACTTAAAAATTGACAAAAGTTTTATAAATTTATTTTTAAAATAAATTTAGTTATATTTTAAATATACATATTTTGTTTAATTATGAAACAGATCACAGAAACAATATAACAATTAGTCTAGTACAACTAAAATTTGGTTACTAATACTTCTGAATAAATATCCTTTAATTTGAAACAGACAGTTTTTTATTTGTTTTTCTCTCTTGATTAAAAAGTTCAAACTGAAAATTTTAACAGTGCAGAGAATAATTATTTAATGTATGGTTAATCAAAATACTGTTAATCTCTAACATTTTTTTGTTCTCTTATGTACTTTTATATATTTATATTGGGGCTTAATGTATATCTTAATTAAGAAATTATATGTTAATTAATTTTAAACATTCCACTTTTGTTAACAGGATGTCTGGAGCGAGGATAGTTCTTCACTTGGCTTACGCACTGAAACCTGGCCAGAAGGGAGTTGCTTCCATCTGTAATGGTGGCGGTGGTGCATCAGCCGTCATGGTCGAAAAGCTATAAAATATTTTTTATTAATTTTTATATTCCAAAAATTAAAAATCAAATTTGAAAGGCTCTGTTGTAAATAGTATTATATTATAAGAAAATGTCTATTTTTTGTAAGTAATAAATGACTGTTTTATCATCCAAATTTTGTATCTAATTAATAGTTAAATAAATTTTATTTTTGTTGGAAATTTTATTTATTTTTAATGAAGTCATCCTATCTTTGAATGTGTTAATTGTATTACTATACCAGGTACCTGGGAAGTATTTATAAATCTTAGACAGAACTAATACTTTGTGTATTTTTATATTTCCTTTTTTTCAAGGAAATATAGCATAGATACATGACTATAGGCATAGATAGATGAATTAGGATAAAAATTCAAATATTTGATAATATTTTTGTTACACCTGATTACAAAAATATTCTAGGATTTTAAACCTATAGTTTAAATTCATGAAGCATTCGCGGTAAACTGTGGTTAAATACACCAAAATGTGTTTGATAAAATGAAGTAAAAGGCCTAAATAAAGAATAAAATGGATTATATAGAAAGAGAGGAGATCCAATAAGCTTTAATTTAAATTACTGATAAGGAATATTTACATCATTTTCAATACCTTATCTGAATTATTAGAAAAAATAACAAAAATCCTCCAATTGTTTTATTTTTACAAAATTTAGTGAAGAAATTATAATTAAAATGTATTAAAAAATAAGTTAAGACGTACAATTGAAACTCATGAATTGAAATGATCATTATTATTACTTTTGGAACAAGAAATTTCTATTTTTGTTACAATTATAGAGACCTCTTAATATGTTTACACTATTTATTATTGTGTTGCGATCATTATTTTGAAAATCCTAGATCATGACTGAAATAAGAAAAACTTAAAACTGAATTGTATAAAAAGGATTTATACAATATAAATATTTAATTTGTGTTATATTCATTCCCTAATTCCCTCCAATCCCAAAGTTTTAATACTAGAACAGTTGTGACTTCATTAACCCATTAAGGCGTATTATGGAATTAAGGAAGCAAAATGCAGAAATAAATTTAGATCTTATAATTAGGGCTCCACCAAACCTTCAAATTCCTCTCGCATCCAATCCTTACAATCCAAAATCCTTCGTAAAATCCTCAATGTTCCTTACTTTGTTACAAATAAAATCATCCATAATGACCTTAATGTTCCTTATGTATCAGATTTGCCCCAATCCAGATATCTGTCCTTCCATAATAAACTTCATAACCATCCCAACCCTCTTGTTTCTAACCTTGCTTCCTATTCAATTCCTGATAATCCTCCGAGGCATCTGAAAAGAAGATGGCCACGTGATCTCCTAATATAGACATATTATTAGAGTGCTACCAATGGGTAGTTTCTCAACATGCGTTTCATGTCATTATATCCATGTGCGAATTTACCAGATGTATTTTTTGTATACAGTTGTAAATATCATATAAATAAATAATAAAAAAAAAACTTATAATTCTTCTGAAACAATCAGCTAATGGCCTATTTCCCATTCTATAAAGTTCTACACAGAAGTAGGTATCTTAGAATGTGTGAAAGTGATGACTTCCATTAAAAAATATAAAGCCCTCCTAAACTTAAACTTCAGACTAACTCCTTTCTATTTATCCTTGTGAACTCAAAGGCAAGTAATCAGCTTACCCATAAGAATATTGCAGGTCTAGGATGAACTTTATCAAAAATAAACTTACAAATCCCAATTTATTTATTTATTCTTGTTTTCATTCTAATTGTTTCAAATAAATTTTTAGATTTGTAGCAAAATGGAAAAAAATATGTCATTCATAATTTAACTGTTAGTCAACTCAATCAAAAGTGAGAGGCAGGGGGAAGTTTTTTTTCCTCTTGATCCAATCCCCATTTTCTCGATGCCACACCCTTGTGGGTGAGCTATAGTGAATATTTGTTACATTTTCACTAATTTAAAAAATTAAAATTATAAATTTTTGGAATTGAAACATTCATACCTCTTATGTTATTTTATCAATGTTAATAAGCAACAATAGAATCTTTCTATAAATTTTTAGAACTATTATTAAACTTTGGGAATATTTGGGTTCAAATTTAATAAATAATTTATTTCAATCTCAAAGAATATGACTTATTATATAGTAATATTATTATATTAAAAAATAGAATTTGTTAATTACTCACAAATCTGAAGCTGCCTGCCTCATTGTTAGTTAAACATTTCCAACAAAGCTATGTCTTCTTACTCCATGTCTTCTTACAATAAGTCAGCTTCTTTCTTGGCAGTTAATTCTGCCATTTTTATTATTTCTTTAAGTTTGTCTTTATCGATTTTCATGGGCCTCATTAAGAAAATATCAGACGAATCCTTTGAAATAGTGCATTGACCTCCCAGTTTATTCGCCACATTATTCATCCAAGCAGCAGCACTCAATCTAGATCCCTAAAATTTATCTCTCTATTATATAAAAAAGATTTTAGTGACTTTCATATTTTATTTTAGTATTAGGAGAGTAGAGATTACAGGAGCTCTCCTCTTAGTTCGATAATTAGCACTAATTATACACCACTTCATCTAATTACATGTGTTGATTTCCTGTAACCTCCTGCTCTCCTAATACAAAATAAAGATTTTAAACCAATAATTTCAATGGAAAATGGTATTCATAAAGGAGTTGGCAGTTTGATTTTATCTTGTTGATAACAGATATTTTTCGATCCAAACATTTTTCCCTTGAATATAATATATTAATTATTATTGTATATTACAATATATTATATTGTGATATGATTATAGTTATTATGAAATAGAAAAGGAAGCACAATATAATATATTAGAAACAAAAGGCTCAAATTATTGTTTTTTTTATGTTTATTGAGAAATAATACATTTTGCCGTACTTAAGGGCACTGAGTACTAAGGCTGAGTGAGGTACATTCATACCATATATACAATACCATAAAAAAAAATACATATGTATATATATATATACACATCTATATAACAAAGGCAAAAACTATAATAAACCAAGGGAAAAAAAAAAATAAAAAAAAAATATATACATCTATATAACAAAGGCAAAAACTATAATAAACGAAGGTCAAATTATTGTTGGGCTTATATGAAGCTGGAAAAGTTGAATATATATTATGGTAACAAATTGACAATAAGAATAATTACATTTTTTTTTTCTTTTCTGTTGCCATTACAGGCGAAGTAGACCTTTTGCCACCTTAACAAGCCTACTTCATCTCTGCCTGTCTTGGGCTATTTCTTTCCAGTTATTTACATGCAGCTCTATTGTATCTTTCCATCTGCTTTTTGGTCTTCCACATGGTCTTTTGCTTTCTATTGAGACTTCCAGATGGGTTGTTACGAGCTACATGCCTCGCCCATCTTAACCTCCATGACTTCATATCATGGGATATTGATTGACCAGTTTCTGTAAGCAGTTCTTTGTTGGTCTTTCTTCTCCATGTGTTAGTACTCTGATCCTAGATCGCACTAGTTATTGTGCGGAGGATTTTCCTCTCAAATCTTTCAACACTTTTTTCTAGGATGCTGGTTAGTGTCCATGTCTCACAGCCATATATTAGAACTGGCTTTACCATAGCATTGTACACTCTTAGTTTGATATTTTTAAGGATTTAAATACCTTTGAGAGGGAGAAGAAAGCTCTGTTTGCGCTAGTTATACGCTGGTCTATTTCTGCCTGTTGGTCATTCATTGAGGTTATTGGAAGCCTAGGTATTTGAATGTTTCTATTCTCGAGAATGATTTTCCTTATTATTGGGATGGAATTTTTGGCTTATTATTATATTTTGTTTTGTCTTCTATGTTATTTTAATATTATATTACAGTGGCTGATTGTATTATTATTCAAAAAAAAAAAAAAAAATATTATATGACAATATTAATTGGAAATAATACACAATGTATAATATAGATTTTTAAAGGAATTAAAAATTTGTCCGAACTGTGTATTTGCTCAGTTTATTTTATGTTAATAAAAAATAATACAAGCTGAACTTCAGAATACAAGTAAATTTCAGTTATACAATTTGAGCAACAAGTTGTATGATTAAATGAACAAGTTGTATAATTTTGTAAAATAGGGGGATGTCCCTCTAATAATATTATATCTAATAGTAACATCTATTATAATTAAATTAAATATATAATAGAATAGAATCCAGTTGTTTACTTATGTGTTAACTTCTATGATTAAAATTTATAAATCCTGAGGGACAAGGGTTTCAGTTTTTTTTTTTTGTCAAGATACTCTAATTATGTACATAATTTTTATAAATTTAAAAAAAAAAGGCAGAATTTTTTACAATGAGGGACTGAAAATTTTACTTTTAAATATATTTTTAAAGTATTACTAATCTTACCTCTGGTACACGACATATTGCAGAAAAATAATTTCCATTACAAGCAAATAGCATTATGGGAAAGTCTATATACTTTTGTATCAGTCTCATTAAATTTGGTTCTTTTCCGGCAAAGAGTACAACACAGTTTTCACTTTTTTCTTTGGCTTCTAGTGCATATTTTTGAATGAAATGTATTTTTTTATTTCTGAAAAAAAATTTTAAAGTAAAAAATTAATCTCATAATCAAATTTATAAGAAAACATCCATCCTTGGCATTAGAGAGTTTTGATAACTGGCTGACCAGCAAGCATTTGTCAAGGCATTAACATCATTCCTTAAAATATAAAACGATTTTCAGTAATATATCATAAAAATTGTCTCTTTTCGTTTTTCTAACACAAATTAGGGATACATGCCTTCAATTCCATGTATCTAGTATTGGGTCTAGTAAATCAAGTAAGGACAAGAGAAAAGTCATGTGAATGAAAAAGTTAAGTATACACAACACCTTAGTAAAATCAAAATTCATTTAGCAAAGAAATTAATATAAACATATCTAACTCTCTATTTAACAATGTGTAACACCTTTTTTTAAAATAAATTTATTAAATAAATATTTCAAATTATGGAAAAATAAAAGAGATTACCTTTGTTTTTGCTTAATTTTCAATTTGAGTTCTTGCAGTTTAGACATAAATTCTGGTTTTAATTCTAACGGAACAGGGTTTTCCATCATGAATGAATTAAGCTTACTAATCTTTGCTTTGTCATCCCATTCCTAGATAAAATAAAAAACAATCAATTTTACATATAGGAATTATAGAAATAGTGAATTGCAGAAATGATGGTTCTTACCTCCTTTAGGATAGATATAATTGCAGTCTTGGCATTCTTTAAAACTTCACCGTTTTGGTCAGAAACACCTGATATTGTCACATTCCTTCCTCTGTTTCTGGTTTCAAAATTTACCAAGCAAACTGGCTCTATGTCTTTTGTGTTTAAAACATTTGGTCCAATTGTAACTTCCCTAAATCTAGGAAAGTTAAATTGAATAAATATCTAATTTCTAATATTAAATTCATAAAATATTCTAAAAATTAGCATTTTAGCTTTCTAGCTTTCTCTACGCTGGAACAAACTTTGAAGGTTTTTTGACATTTTTGGTATTGTGAAAAGTTCCATGTACGCCCATTCTTCAGTCAACATGTTAAACAAAATATAACCAAGTGGAATGATAGTACAACCATAACTCTTAATAAAAACAAAAATAAGTAAAGCATGGGTAAAATATTTTTTTTCAAAAATTATACAGCCCCATGAAGTAAGGAAACAAAAGAAAAATTAATTCAAACCAGGGATGGAAATACTAAGACTAGGAATACAATAATTATGTTATCAACAAAAAGGAGCATTGAAGATTCCCCAAAACACAGGCAAGCAGACATTTAAGTGAAATATGAATTAAGGATAATCTAAAAGATATCTAAAAAAATAAGAAAACCAAAACAATATAATGTCTATATTAGACAAATAAAATAATTTTTACCTCTTTTCATCATCAATGTTAAATACATAGATGGATTTCATATCTGGAGTAACGTAAGGAGGTAGGTATAAATCTCCAGTTCCTACTAAATCATTGGTAGATCTCCTTGTTAATCCTATATTCAATCCTGCACTTATCAAATCATTCACTTTTTCTTCAAGGGACTTAATGTCTAAAATAAAAATTACAATTAGTACTTTTCTTTGCAATCAAAATTATATATATATGTAAACTCATCAAACTATTAAATGCCCTTATAAAGTCATTAGTGCAGAATACTTGAATAAAAATATTATTTGATCAGAAGTGAATGCCAAATTCAGTGGGTATATAAAATAAAACCCTGTAAAGAATTTAGAGGATCTGGATTGATTAATTAATAATTATAATCAATAATCAGTTGCACTTCTCAATTTTTTTTTTTAATAATTGATAATGTGACTTCATACAAATGAGACAAAGAGTTAATAAGATTTTTTATATTTAGTACAAACCTTCATATTGTAAATGATGACCAAATATTAAAAAGCTGCCAGAAAACTCCTTGCTTGATGTCCTGTAGGAGAGAGTATTACAGAAAATCTTTGAGCGCAGAGCAAACGATAGTAAATGGGCAGCCGAGGTATTTTTCATAAGACACATTCTGTTATCGTAGTCAATTGAAATTTCGGCCATTAAACCTTCTGTAGGAATGTTTTCATCACTATAGAAAAAAAAATTGCAGAATGAAATATGATACAGGTTGGAATTAATAAAAATTCACATATTTAACTATAAATGGTGATTCTAAATAACATCACAACAGGTCGTACTTAAATAATTTAATAATTTTGATAAATGTGAAGATCCATGATTAAATACCAGGTAATCCAACTTCCTAAAATTATGACTTAATAATTAACTTATATAAAGAGTATTGAATAACAAATGTAAGAGAAAAAAATCTGGTGAGTCCACTCACACGACTTTCCCACCTATTTCAGAAAATTTTTTATATCTTTACATATAAAGTCCATCAAGAACAAAAAAAAAAATTGAATTAGATTTATTTCCCTGAAAATTGATCAAAGAAAAGACCTGAGTAGGATTTATTTGATAAACTAAAGAAATGTAAACCAGCTTAAGGTAGATCAGTGTAAAAATTTCAATACCTTCTAACATTGCTGATCAAAAACATTTTGCCACAGCCTAATTTTGGCAAATAATAAAATCTGTTAAAATTAAAGGAAATAGTGAAGCTTTTGTGATGCAGACAACAGATGATTTTCTTACTTTCACTTAGTTATCGTTCTCTCATTCATTCCTTTCTGACACCAGGATATGTACCCGTAATATTACATTGGAAATTGAATAGCTGTAACTTCGTTAATAGTTATCCGAAATTGTCAATTTTTATATAGTTTCCATAGAACTTTTTTCAGGAATTTATTTCATGTACAAAAATTGAAAGGACAATTATTAGAACATTATCGAAATCCTTAGAGCTGTTTTCGCGCAACAGTCTATAGAAAAACATGTATTGAAAAACATTTAATGCGCAGCAGCTATTGAGTATGGAGCACCCAATTTGTGTCACAGGCATCAGTAGTCAAAATCCTACAAAATAAAAAAAAAAGCAACAAAATCGGTTCTCTAGTTCCCGAGAAAATCTTGGCACAGACAGACCAATGACTAAAAATGTGTTTTTCGGACTCAGGGGGCTCTGAAACATATAGATCCGTCCACATATCGGAAATTTGATCCGATCGCAATACTTTTCTTACCTAGTATAGGTAGGAAAGTAAAAAATACTATTTTAGCATTGACATTAAAAAATAGATTTTCCATACCATCAAAATAATCATGTCCTATTTTTTCTTAAAAAAAGCATCTTTCATAAAACAATACATTAAAAAAATTAATATATAATTGTAACTGGATGAATGTAAAAAAAAGTGACGGAACAATTACATTAAAATTTACCACAAGTCTTGTTAAAACAATAAATGGATAATTAAATATGGATTGATTTATTTAGATGTTTAACAAGTACTTTTAAATCTATTGGAAGATCAATTACTAAATGTACATTTGTTTATAAAAATAATATAGTTATAAAATTAAATGAAACTTACTTTCCAGATATCCGAACTTTTCCAGTATGGTATATATAACCTCCAAGATTAAATACTTTCTCAACAATAATTTTTCCTATTTCATTGTTATTACTATCAAATAAAGTTATTGTACCATGGTCCCCACCCCCTTTTAAAGAACTCCACATGTTTGTCTTCTCCAACAGAACACCGACTGTGTGTTCCGAACCAAACAATGATGAAATATTACTAATACACTGGCCACTCTTGATTATAGCTTGCACTCTGCTTCGGATATTTTCAAAAATATATCTATCTGAATTTTTGGTATAATTTGCCTTAAAGGAATCATCGGTCGGCAGAAAATGGTTGCTGATATATTCTAAAGTGTTCTTTGGTATGTCTAACTTTTGGCTCGTATGAATTAAAGCTTTATTTTTCTCCTTCAAAATTAAAATGTCCTTCTGAAGCTGAGGAATATTTACAAAATAATCTGAAAAATATCCAAGATTAAATACTTAGAAATTGTTTATGATTAGTTAGAAATATTTATTTATATTAAAAGAATATATAATCCATTAAAGGATAATTTAACCAGCCTTAACATTAATTATTAAATTAAATTTGCAACTTAATGCCCCTGAAAAATACAGTGAACCAAATAAATCAAATATATTTGTAATTTTACTATTATTGCATTTTCCAGAGTAATTTAGTAAGATTTTTTTTTTTACTACAAGAAGGAGTGACAAGTAAACATATTATGATTACCGAGTAAGGAGATGGTCCGGGGTGGCAGTCATAAAAAGATTAAAATAGTAAAAAACTATTTTATTTAAAGTCAACGTTTCGACCCTACTTAGCAGGTCTTCTAGTTTGAACCAAAACTCCCTACTGCATACAACCCCGTGAAGAAGACCTGCAAAGTCGGCCCGAAACGTTGGCTTTAAATAAAATAGCTTTTTACTATTTTAGTCTTTTTATGACGGCCACCCCGTACCATCTTCTTACTTAATAATATACCACTATCAACCATAAAGTATTCATAATTATGATTACCACAAACTCTAGCTAACTCTTCGATAACTTGAGGATTAAGACCATATCTGTCATAAAATATTAAGCATAAATCTGCTGGTAAAACACTCTTTGGAGGTAATTTCCTGTCTTTCAATTCATTAAATGAAGAAATAAGACCTTTGCTCTGTACATCACTCAATGACTCCAAATAGGGATTGTCTTTTTTTAAATTTTCCCAATCATTTTTCACTTTTGCTTTTATTTCTTGCCACAATTCATTTTCATCTCTCAGCACGAATTCAATCTACAAGAATAGCATAGTTGTAATTAAATAATTAAAAATAAATTAAATAAGAATAGAGATAAGACCTAAAGAAAATGGCTGTGCCAATTAAAATCTAGCCATTTAAAATAAATGTCATAATATAGCTCAATAATTTATTCATATTTATATTTTGATATCAATTGAATATATATTTGTCAAAAATTCTCAAAATTACAAAGTTTTATCCAATGAATGACAGTTTAACTATATTTATAATTGTGGATTGATGGTTGACTGTAATGAAATTTGAAGAGAAGAATGGTTGGGGTGATCAGCAATAAAATATAGTTAAAATAAATAATTATATTTATTTTTACATTCACCGATGTTTCGGACCTTATTCGGAGTTAATTTCATTAATCTCTACTTTGTTGCCATTATTATTTATTTCTTAGTTCTCTGTTACTGTTATTATTCTACCGAGCTTATTTTTCATTAATGTTCACTCTATCTACTGTAATTTACTTTAAGTTTATTCTAACTACATTTTTTAGTCTATACCTTTCACCTTTTTAATTTTAATTCTATATTATTCAATGTTTATACTTCCTCATACCTATCTGTTTTTTTCTTAGCCCTGATAAAGGTCTGAATTTTGGGCCGAAACGTCGGGAAATGTAAAAATAAATATAATTATTTATTTTTTTGACTGATCATCCCAACCATTCTTCTCTTCAATGAATTGTTTTAAGTGATTTTTTTTTTTTTGTCATGAAAATCAATAGAATCTTCCTTCTCCACATTAGTTTTAGCCATTCGAGTTAATAAAGTTATTAATATAAGCGTTGGTTTTTTTTTTAATCAAATTTTATCAATGATTTATAAATGAAAATTCTTCTTCTTACTTCTTCAGAGATTGTAACATCTTCATAAATTGATATAACAATCTCAGAGGAAGTTGACTGCAATAGACAAAATATTATGACAAAATTCTAATCATTGTAAAACTAATGTTTTGTAAAAATAAAATACAGTATGCCTTGTAAAGATCAGAACCATATTCTTGTTCGACATAGAAAGTCAACCCTTCAGACTACTCTTGTGAATATAGTTACCATTAAATCACGATATTGGCAGTATTTTTTTTCTTCAACAGCTCATGAAGAGTTTTAACTAACAAAAATACTTCATATAACAGCATCATTTTAATAGTGATGAACATGCTGTTTTGAACATGAAGTGTTGAGCCTTCAAACTAAAACTTGCGGACAGCATTGCTTTTCTGTTTAAAAAAAATCTGCTGCTAAATTGGCATTGAATGCTTGTCAAAGCAAGTGAACTTGCTCTTGGTAAACTACAATGTTTTGAGTGGTTAAAAATTTCAAAATTGCAATTATGAGAAATGAAAAATGTGTAACATGAGTGTGATCTATCATGAGCTACTCAATGCTATAAATAACAAAGGATCGATTTGAATATAATATTAAATGAAAAACGACTGAAATATCAAGAAAGACAACACAAAGTGATTATGCTTAATGATAACCAATCATCACACACAGTCATACCAGCGATGGAAACAATTGAAGAGTTCAGTTTGGAATTATTAGCGCATCCTGCTTACTCAACAGACTTGGCTCCACCTGACAACTATTTATTTGCAGTAACATGGCATGTGCTTCCTTAACAAAGCTTCATTTGTTATACAAAAATGTCTTACTGGCTGGTCCGTCATAAAAGAGCAACAGTTTTTCTGGCATAGCATTCACAAATTGACAGAGAGATGTGAAAAATGTATATCTAGCGATGGATAATATTTCAACTACAATATTCTAATGCAAAAAAAGTTTGTTTTCAATAAGAAAATTCCGGGTCCCTATTTACACACCTGGTTTATGTAAATAAAATAATGTTAACATTTGAAGCTGATGTACCTGCCTCAAGTTATTGGTGACTTCAGGAAAAATATGAGAAAATGATTCCCCAGCTACTTTACTTAATTCAACCATTAGAGATACTCCATTTCCAGGGGAAAACTTCTCAGCAGTAAGAATACCTTTTCTTATAACTCTTCTTAATCCATGACTGAAACAGAACCAAAAACATAGGAAATTATGTATAAATGTTTGCAAAAAAAAAAAAGTGGGCTTACATTAAAAATAATTTTAAAAGATTGAGTAAGGTATTTTGAAATGCTTGATCTTAATTGTTTAATGAAGATTAATTCATAACTTCTAATCATTACCTTTCATCAGGGAACACATTGTCAGCTATTGCAACAGACACCATGCGAGAATGATCAGCTAGAATTCGATAAGCTGTGTCAAGGCCTTTTTCATCTTCAAATCCAAATTTTCCTGAATATTTTGAAAATCCAGAAATCTGAAAAAAAAAATACATGATAGATAAAATACAAGAATAAGTATTAATGAATAACGGATAATTTGAACATATATAAATTAATTCACCTTAGCAATAGCATCAAAATATGGCACAAAACTATCGGTATCATAGTTTGATGATTTTCCTTGAAGTAAAGCTACTAAGCGTTCAAGACCCATTCCCGTATCAACAAAATGTTTCTCTAAAGGTATCAAAGTTCCATCTTCTAGCCTATTAGATTATAAAAGCAGATTAGTCACAAAATGTTAACATAAATATATTTTAAATGTGGGTAAACAATTGAATAAAATATAAAGAAATATTTAATGAATATGTGCATAATTATTTAATGTACTCAAATATTGGATACTGTTCAGTATTATTTTTATCTTCACTAGGTTAACATTTTTCATTTTTGTTTTTTCTGCCACTACATCGTTTCTATAATTTAATCAAATATCTTGTAATCCACCAGTTATATATGTTTTATTCCGTATTTTAATTAATTTGAATACATTAACCAATTGGATAAAAGTTTTTAAAAGCCTTGTAATTATTTCAACAGTTGTATTGCACTAGATTTGTTTTAGGGTTCATGAAGAAAGAATATATTAAGGAACTTTTTATTTCAAATAAAAATTATGATATACATATTTTTTATTTCTTCCCATATTCAATGAAGTTTTATTTCCAATGGTGTAGAGATAGTTGACTGTGATTATAATATGAGAAGGAGTTGGTCGGGGTGCGGTCAAATAAGTATTATATATTACAATAGTATTTTATTGTTGAAGTTCCGGCCCACATATTTAAATGTTAAATATGCAATTATTAAAAAGTAATAAACAAAATATTACATATGAATAAATACTTTAATTTTAAATATAAAAGTTAAAATTGATAAACAAAGAGCACAAACGAATAAACCCTCTCCTCAAACATAGTAGGTGAAATTGTAGATTTTAACTTAGTGTAAAATATAAACTAAGATAAATAAAAATATAAATGATTAGATAAAAAAAATAAATAAAAACAAATTCAAATTCAAATAGTAGTTTTGAAGCTACCTTCAGAGTATTCTGATTCAAATAAAAATAATAATGATATTATTTGACTTAGAATGTCAACAAATTACAATTCAGTAATAGCATTTTAATACCTGTTGAACTGAACAAAAACATTATTCCAGAGTTCTGTGAGATCCGCAGAATCTTTATTAACCAAATGTGGCCGCGAAGCGCTTCCAAGGTGGTCGTAATGTATTTCAGTACAAGGTCCACAAGGCCCATGAAGTCCCATTTCCCAAAAATTTTCTTTTAATCCAAATGGTAAAATGCGATGCTTTGGTACTCTAATTAAAAATTAAACACAAAGAATAAAAGTATTCTTCAGGAAAATAATACGTTTGATTGTATAACTGATAAATTAAAACAATAATATTGCCATTTAATCTTACCCAATTTCCAACCAAATTTCTTTTGTCTCCAAGTCAGGCAATAAATTCAAACTGTCATCACCTTTGAAATATGTTACATATAATCTGTTTGGATCAATGGAATATGGTTTAGATGTGATAAGATTCCATGCTAACTTGCAAGCTTCTTTCTACAAACAAATTAGCGTTACCATTATATGGATAACAAATAACAGACAAAGCTGTAAATATATAATAAAAAATTATAAAAAAAAAGACAAAATTTACCACTATTATGCTAAACAGAAATTTCATAAGTAGGGTTAATTTTTTTGATTTTTCAGAGTAAAATTTATTTTAGCACTGAAAATAAAGTAGATATTTATTTCAAAATATCTACTTTATAATAATTAAATCTGGTAATTATTTCGATCAGAACACGCACGGATTATGCGTGGTTCACAATCACTTTGGTCACACTTTTTCATAGAGTACCAATTGCATCCGAGTTTAACGTTAGACTATTTTCGGCATTTCATGAACAAGTGTGACCGAAGTGATTGTGAAATAAACATAATCAGTCTGGTCCTGATCGAAATAATTACCTCAACATTAATTTAAACATGAAAATAAAGATGTGTGAACACCATTTTATCTATGAATAATTTTAAACGAACAGCCTTTAGTGTATAATTTCTGAAACCAGAGGAAATATATTAAAAATCATTTTGATTACAGATATAACTACTATTATGTCTTAAATTTAACATGGCATGATGAGAAAGTGGTATTTTTGTCTTCTAATACATTCATGGAGTGTATAGCATTTTAAAAATCTTTACACAGAATAGTAATAAGTTGACTTTCATTTTATCATAGTAAAAATCTTTCATGGAGATCAAAGGTATTACTCCCTTAACCTACATAATATGTAGAAATTAAATCCTAAACAAATTTTATGATGAATAGTTACTAAGCGATAGTTTTATTTCTTGTCAATCTCAATAAATATCAGCATCACTTCATGACTTTTTGAGATGCAATACTTATATATTAGTATTTTTTCTTGATGGATGAAAATAATTCTCTTTGAACCTAAAATATTCTATAGAGTCTATTCATTATCTAAATGTCAAGAAATCGAACTTACTTTGCTACATTGTTTTGCAAAATTGCAAAAACTAAGATTTTCCTAGTTAATGCATAGAATTTATAAATAGATTATTAATCATGACAAACCTTAAAGTAATCATTAAAAGACCAATTTCCGAGCATTTCGAAAAATGTATGATGGTAAGTATCTTTGCCAACTGAATCTAAATCATTGTGTTTTCCACCAACTCGTATACATTTCTGACTATTACAAGCTTTGGCAACAGGAATTCCTTCTAATCCAAGAAAAACGTTTTTGAACTGAAAATAAAAAATGAGTGTATGAAAGTATGATGGATTACGTAATATATAATATAAATATAAACTAATGCAAAATAAGAGAAAATTAAAGAAGTGAAGGCCTGAGTGAACTAACCCATATTTATTTAGGATATTGTTTGAAGTGAAATCTCGTCATGTGAAAATTCTAATACATTTTTAAAATCTGTACCTTATTGATTCTAAAATTATAGAAATGTAAACAGTAAATTGATGCATAAGGCGAAGCAACACAGTTTATTAAAAATTCTTGATACTAAAAATCACCACTTAAAAATATTTTTTATCCTTACATTTCGACTATCAGGCCATCTTCAAATGATTTTGTAGTTTTAACGAAATCTGGCCCCAATAAGCTATGTTAATTTTTTTAAACATTTAATCCAGATTATTTTTCTTATATAATTTATTTAATAATTAATTTTATTTATTTTGTCTAAAAATGTAATTGGGCTTATTAGGGACAACTCCCCTTAAAACCACCAAACAACCTGAAGATGGTCTGACAGCAAAAGGTAAAAAAAAAATTAAAGTTTTTAAACTGGTCAATTGTTTTTTAGTCTAAAGATTTATAAGAAATGTAAAGCTCTACTTTCAATATTAGTCTGCAGTAATTCGATTTTTTTTTATAAAATCTTTTTTAGTAAGGTTGGTTCACTCTGGTTTTCAATGCCACAAACAATCTTAAGGTGCATTTAGACAATTCACAAACTATGGGAAAAAGAAATATATAAATGTTTTTTTTCTATGCTAGTGTTTTTGTTTCTTATTTTTGAAGTGTTCTGTCTGCTTTTGGTAACAAGAGAAATAAAATAAATAGTTTTGTTTTGAACTAATGTCACTGTTAGTTAAATTAGATAATGGTGTTTCCCATAGTTTGTGAAATGCCTAAGGGCACCTTTAGATTACTAAATATAGCTCATTTTTAAGATAAAAGGCGGATGTAGAGAAAAATCTAGAAGCACCAACATAGAAATCAGTGTTCTTAACCAGTAAAACACTGATCATCTAGTAGTAAGGAAATAAAAATCAAAATGCTTTTAAATCTCTTCAATAATTTATTATTTGAAATTATAAGTAACTTAATATTTTCTAACCTGGTTCATACCAGCATTTACAAACTCCAAAGAAGGGTCATTAAAAGGTTTAACAGGACTAGATTTAATATAACAATGGTTTTCTGAAGCAAAATAGTCAATAAATGTTTTTCGAATAGTATTAGTTGATAAAATACTGTAGTATTTCCGACTCATTTTATCTATATTAAAAACATTACAGTGGCGTAAATTAAATTTTAATTTGTACATGTTGAATATGATTATATATTACATGCATTTGAAAATAAGAGGGTTATAAAATATAACCTCATCATTGTAAGGTGTATTGTGTTGCGGTATAGCAAAGAGGAATGAGTTTAATATTTCTCCAATGAAGTATATAAATAATAAAGACTTAAACCAGAACATTTTTTTAGCAATGGCATTGATTTTTGCAGGAAGGAATCTATCTGTTAATTTATTTTTAAAGCAATGGGCATTTGTACTTTTATTTAACGTTCTATATTTTTAAAATAAATTTAGTTCTACGAGGGAAAGAGTGACTCCAGTTCAGTGATAATAAATTTTCATTAGTAATTTAATTAAAGCCTTCAAACATTTCTTCTTCAACTATGTACTTGAGGAATAAGAAGTATTAGTACGTTTGTCCATCCAAACTATCCATGAAAATAATATTTAATTCGCTCGTTCTATAGACCTTAAATTCAAGTGTAAGGCTCTTCAAAACAAAGCTAAACTTATCTTAGTTTTTAGAACACAAAAACCATATGAAGATCCCCATCGTCAAGATATTCAATTATCTAAAACAAATAATGGAAATTTGTTATTTGGCATCCTAAAATTGTATAATTTGGTACGGAAGCATAAATAGAACATGAAATAAGTATATTTACCTTACAAAAAGGGAGGAAAAAAGTACTGTAAAAAATTAATCACTTTCACCATATATGAAATCACTAATTACCACTATAAGAAGCATCATTAGAATATTTAATACTAACTAGTCATACGTAAAGGATATTTAATTATATAGTTCTTAGGAGAAAACATAACAATCACTATCCATAAAAATAATGAACAGAAAGATTGCTTTTTTAAGCCCTTTTTTAGCATGAATTATTGTTTATCCTCCCCTCCTCACACCCAAAATGGAAAGTGTGCGCCAATGGTTCTGAGCACCTATGAAGTTATTTCATTCTTCGGAACATCGACGCTCTTTGATATGACAGCAGAGATCAAATACCAATATCAATGCTATGATTAACTTGTCCCACAGTCTTTTAATAATGAGACGTCATAGTCGGAAAAAGTATCAAATAAGCGACCGACTGATAGTAAATATAATTTAATAACGTATAACATAAATGATATAGACAATACTACTGGCTGGCCCCAAAACTATTATTATACCATACTATCGTACCGAAACGTTACTATAACCTACTATGTTAGTTTTAAACTTCACTAAACATAGTATATTCTATGAAACATAACTAAATATGTTTATATAATTTTTTTGATTAATGTTTTTAGCGCATACGTTAAATTCCCAAACAAGATTCATAAAAGCTTTTATTATTATTTTAGAGTTTGCTAGAAAGAAATTTTATGATGTGCTATATCTTTATTACATGTATACATATGTTATTTATATTGGCAGACGAATAATCATGCCGTATAAATGTTCTATGTACTTTGAAATTTATAGTTTATGTATATTTAATAAAGCATTTCTCATTCGTTCATTCATATGAGTAAAACACTAATTACTAATACGGGGATATAGCACCGAAAATTAAGACAACTTCGTATTAATTGTAAAAAGAAATTTTTTTATTAAATGTGTCGGATGTAGTTAAGGGAGTGTATATCGGTCACGTTTGGTTGTCAAAATAGAAATCTTTTCCTTCTTCCGAATCAATACACTAATTGTTTTGGCTACATTTTTCCACCATCATTTAAAAAATATTTGCTGGTTAGGTATTTACCACTACATACAATAGAAATATGCGGACAATTTTATAATTCCCGGCTAATTTCAATAATTTTACTGTAATATATGACTTCTGCCGTAATACCGGACTTTCTGTATAACGGATGCGGACAGACGAAGTAACGAATACGGTGAACAGCAGACCCAACACGAAAATGTCAAGAAATAATATTTTACGAGTTGTGCCGTTGTTCAAGCAACATAAGAATGATTTCGACAGTTTCGTGATTTAACACTCCAATATTCGCACTATTATTTAAAGCTATTTTCTCGCTGGGAATTTGAGCTGACAATACATTTTGGTGATCTCTGAGACTTCCAAATCCTTAATGAATATTCAAGAAGTTCTGTCACAAATTTGTAGGCTGAGTAGTAATTTTAATTTTGAAAGAGCAAAGTGGAAGAATTGTAACGATTGCAAAGTGCAACATGATCAAATTAATTACTTTAAAACTGTAAATATTAAATCTTGGTGTAGAATATCAGGTATCTTTCATACTCGAATGAAACTTAGGAATGCATACATTAATTTATATAAAATAAATTAATTTACTTTTAGTATCTTTACTAAATCTGTACATATGCAGTTGCACTATCCAGATATACTCAGTATAGATGCAGTAACGACCCAACAATCAGAGATGGACAAATGCTACTCTGAGTACCAAGTACCAAGTATTTTACTCAAATTGAATCACTATTGAGAATTCTATCACTACTTCAGTTTGACATCAACTGAAATAGTAATTAAATTCTTTGGTACTCAAAAAAGGTCAGGGTTTAAGTAAAATACTTGGTACTCAATACTCAGAATAGTATTTGTCCATCTCTGCTTGTACTTCGACATCAGTCTAGTCGCTGTTCTGTACCGACGCACTTTGCAATAATTGTTTTCCCTCTTTGATCCATTTAAAGTTTAACTGCATCTACAAACGAATTCTGATTTTTAAACTATTTAAGAAAGCAATGGAAAATTTATGGTACGAGTTAGAAATAAGGTACTGTTAAAATTATTAAACAGATATATCTGCATGTTAAATTAACCGATTCTTAATTTATGTAGTACAAGAATCGCATAAGTATTTAAAAATTGTCCTATTATGTTAAGAAATAAATATTTCTTTTTGCGAAACCGAAGTTCGATGGGACCCAACCACTAGCGGATCCAGAATTTAATTTTGGGGTAGGAGAGCTTCAGCCCGAAAGCTTTTTTTTCATAAAAATAACGATAATTATTTTGGAAAAAACGAAATAAACTAACTACCTATATGAAATGGTGTTTAAGTGATTCCTAAAGCCCTTTTAAATGTAATTACACGAACAATAATAGCTCGAGAGATAATTTTTCAATATGTTTTTCGATAAAACATGGTTATATTTTCCCATTTTAGAGGGGCTTCAGCCCGAAAGCCCCCCCCCCCCCCCCCACCCCGTAGATCCGCCCGTGGACTCAACAGTGGTTTTACTATCTGTACAAATAGTGACTAAAATTTTCTAGTATTAGTAATTATTTTTCATATATTTTTATTCATTTATTATTATTATTGCTATAATTTAACCGGTCTTGGTCTTGTTCTTGATTTTGCAAAAGTGCAAGACCAAGACCAAGACTTATTTTGGGCGACACTACTTCAAATATTTCGTCAATACATGAAGAATTTTTAGTAAAAATATTCAGATTTATTAATTATTCCTTGTTTTTTAGTATAAATAGAAAAAATCCCCCGCGCTATTCTCCTGGTTCCGCTTGTGGGCAGAACAGCAATTAAGTTTTCCAACGGTTGTAATTTCGTTGAATTAAGAAAACATCCTGAGAAGTTAGCGAAGTAGGGAACAGTCCAAATCATGTCCAAAAATATATAGTTTTTATTTCCATATAAATCTATAGATATAGGTAGGGTTTTAAATAACGGTAAAAATTAATCTTACTTCCTTTTTAAAATTTTTATATTTTCATTCATTTTTAATCTTCCCGATTATAACATGTTTTTTTCTCGGCTCCTAAGGCCTATTGGAACGATCGCCTGAACATCTGTCCAAATCGATGTAGAATTAAAAATATAAATAAATAACACACACACACACACACACATATATATATATTAATAAAGTAGGTTTAAATTAATGACACACCGACTGTAATCTATCCTTGTTATAGATATGTAAAATTTCTGGCTTTACTTGTTTATATAAAATCATTGTCATCAGTATAGATTTGTTTCCACAATAATGGCCTCATTCCTGACAATAAATGGCCGTAATCGACGAGCTGCTTACCACTTTGATATTCCCTCAGCTATTTGGTTTGGTAATGAACCAAATAGCAGCCACGTGTGTCAAATTGATACTTGATAAAAAACAACCCGACATGTTCCTAAAACAAAGGTCCATAGGTATTCCGCATGGCTGCATCCCTGTTTTTCTTCCTTGAATGTTGCATTAAATTACGTTTGACCTTGACCCTGAATTGATAACTTGGTATGCTCAATTTACCAACTTCTGCTATTCAAATATCCTGTGACAGGAGTCCCAAAACTATATTCCACTTGAGGGCATTTTTGAGCCTTTCAGTTGAAAGAACGACAAATTTCAATTTCAACATTTTTGAAGTGAAAACTTCTTTAGGCGCGTTTTAAATTTTTTTTGTGGAGAGTGAATTATATTGATCCATCAGTCGGCATGAACGCTCGTGTAAACTCGGCAAGAGTTGACCAATTAAAAATTTTTACATATGGATTAAAATATCTCAGAAACTATAAATCAGGCCTGCATACTGTAAGCGAGGAAATTATTCAGAATTCCGTCCTCTCTGTAATATGATATAATTCAAAATTGTATCTTAACGCGACGCCGTGTTAGGGAGGCGAAAAGGAAAAAGTAGTGTTGAAAACCAAAATGATAAGGTTAGTTAAACATGTGGATTAAAATATATCAGATACTAAAAATTGGATATGTATTCCGTAAGCTAGTAAAATGTTCAGCATTTCATCTTCTTTGTAATGATTTATATTTCATATTATTAATCTCACCTTGTTGATGTTTTCACTTATATATTCCCTCACCACAAGATCTCGACCTTCTGACCTACACATCCCTTCTCATATATCTGCCTCATTCCAAAACTTCTTTATAGCCCGCTCTGTCTATTGGAATTCCCCCTCGATCAAAATTAGGCATGCTCCCTCCGTATCCACATTCAAAAATCTTGGTTCAATTATAATCAACTTTTTTTATATATATACGCAAGTAAAGTTTT